GAGTAGCGAAGCTACACAGCTTCTTAAGTCAGAGGAAGACTTAACGCTCAATGAGCAACTTTGGTTCTACGAACCCGACTCAAAGAGTCAACAGCTCAAAGAACTTACGTTCCCTGTTCCAGGGGGACCAAACGATTCAAAGAATCAAACGCACTAAGTGCACAAGGAGTAGCTGCCTTAACAAGGCGTTGCTACTTCCTTACGATCGCAAGACGCCTCAGAGAGGCACGTGTCATTTGTTGATCAAAATGGGAACCGAATTTTATTTCTTCTTTTAACCCAAAAGAACATCTTAGAACAAAGTAAATAACCTACTCATTCATGTCCTAAATAAACCTATTAAAAGATCTCGTAATCAATGGTTGACAGACATCAGTCTTCAACAATTGATACTTGTGTTCTAATATTACTTTAAAGGGGATCCCATCCCTTGTGTGTATCACACCTATTGTCGACTACCAGTCGACGTGTAACCCCGTTACACGTATGCTGGTGCTCGATACCGTGCTGGCCGTATCCTGGACAGCAAGAATTATGGCTCCAGTCGGGCCGGTCGTGAGCATCTCATAGTGTCCATGATGCAGGTAAAATATATTCGTCGGTGACGCGGATTGGAACTCTGGTAATGGCGCTGCTGTATTGATCTACTGTAGTCTTAGGAGCTCACAATGAACATTGCACGAGACAACAGAGGTGGACGGCCTTGGCGCAGCTGGTGAGGTGTAAGATTGTGAGCGAGAAGCAAAGATCGTAATGCGGTGATTCAGGCGCTCGAGTGAGCACCACATTTATACTGATATCGTTACATCGGGTGGCCGAAGACTGTCAAGTCATTCGCTCGATACATACGTCATAGTTCGGGAGCTTTGCCGAATGAAGTATCGGATCGTTATCCTGTGTCCTTTCGACGCATGCAGCACCCTCACCTCATCTCCACACAAGCTCGTTAGAGCTACACAATCGATCAGATCAGTCTGCGACTACTACTTCAAGTCCGTGTAAATGGGTGCACTACCATTCCAGTCAAGTCAAGCCTGGCGCTGCATTGTCGCGCTCTTCTACTTCTGTCCACTGGTTCTTGTCGTGCATCACATTGTACCGCGTAGACAGGAACTCTGTCTCATCGCACTCATAGCTCAGCGCGTCGTCAATCGACGCAAGTGTATAGCAGTGGCAGCACGCTACCAGTCAAGAGCAAATAGTGCAGCGACATATTCTAGTGATTGATAAGGTGAGGTATATTTAGGTGCGCTGGCGACCCGATAAAAGAATGGCAGTGATCGAAATCACCACACATACATCTAAGTTACAAGATTAGGCTCGTGTGGTTCCACGAAAGACGCCTCCGCGCACCACGAGGTGTTTCCGTGAAAGGCTAAGGTCTTTTCTGTGTAATTGGGTCCACTTGAATCTGCGTGGTTGGAAGTAGAAGTTTCGATCCAGTGATTGACGTCGTTGTCGAGGTGTGCAGCCAGCTCCTGGACGACACTTTGGCCTGACGGGATTTGGACTTGGACGGAACGGCACGTGTTCGTGGCTATGTTCGCCGCACAGTCAGCCATTTTGTTGTAGTCGCGGGAGTGATGACCCCAGCTAACCACAGCTACTTCGTCGCCCAGATCCCTCGCCCCGTCGTATAAGTGCGCCAATTTGGGTTTACGCGGTAAGCGGTAGGTCCTGAGTTGCAAGAGCACCAAATCACTGTCCCGTACGACATGAAGAGGCGACAACACGCCTTCTTTAGCGCGGTAAGGACCGTGCACGAGACCTTGATATTGGGCAAAGTTGTCAGTAGTAGTAGTTGGATTGCCATATGCTATGCTGGCCACCCACACGATGCCGGCTGTGTGGGTAGGTGCGTGAAGCTTGACAATGACGAATCCAGACCCGCCCGGCTCAGTATTTCCTAGAGATTCCCCATCGAAGAAAAGCAGGTACATCACACCTGGCGGGTCAGCCAGCCGTAGTGATCTCAGTGGAATTGGTTCATCGTGTAGGAGAAGCGTGTCGGCCAGTGCAAACCTGCGCAAGTATCTGGCCATCGACTCCACCTTCCGGGGTATACAGAGCTTCGAAATCGTGTCAGTGCAAGACGCAGATGTGACGTAGCCTTGTATATGTGCGCTTCTTCTGACAGGGTGGAATCTCGCATCCTATTCAGGCGCTCAATTCATACAGCATGTAGCGACGACGAAAAGACGAATCGCCACAGTTCATTTGCCGCGTAAAAGACTACTGACATTGCTTTTTACCGATCAACGCTTATCGCGCGAGATCGCTGAACTGGCGTCCAGTCTGCTGATACCTGCCCTTGGATCTCCATGTCGAATACCCAGACTTCCATGTCGGCCTCGTCAAAAGCTCCTAGATATCGCCACATCGACCGCAGATGGGCCCAATGGCGTTTTGCGCAGGTACAGCTCCAGAAGACATGACTTGTTGGTGCGAGAGTTTTCTTGTCGTACTCGTTGTTGAATCATGAGAGATCGTGCGCTGCTCAGTTCCATAACGGGAAGCTCTTACTCTTGATTCAATACAGCGTTTGTACTTCTGTCGAAAATGTCGCTCGGATCCGGCAAAAATCACGCCATGCGACCATAACGGTGCCAGATAAAAAAATCCTGAAAGCCTTGCTTCAGGTTTCTTAGGTCGCGCTGTTGTTGTAGCGGAGCTACACAGCTCCTTAAGTCAGAGGAAGACTTAACGCTCAATGAGCAACTTTGGTTCTACGAACCCGACTCAAAGAGTCAACAGCTCCGAGAGCTAAGGTTTGGTTTGAAGAACCCGACTCAAAGAGTCAACAAGCTCAAAGAGCTTACGTTCCCTGTTCCAGGGGGACCAAACGATTCAAAGAATCAAACGCACTAAGTGCACAAGGAGTAGCTGCCTCAACAAGGCGTTGCTACTTCCTTACGATCGCAAGACGCCTCAGAGAGGCACGTGTCTTATGTTGATCAAAATGGGAACCGAATTTTATTCCTTTTTTTAACCCAAAAGAACACCTTAGAACAAAGTAAATAACCTACTCATTCATGTCCTAAATAAACCTATTAAAAGATCTCGTAATCAATGGTTGACAGACATCAGTCTTCAACAATTGATACTTGTGTTCGAATATTACTTTAAAGGGGATCTCATCCCTTGTGTGTACCACACCTATTGTCGACTACCAGTCGACGTGTAACCCCGTTACAGTTGTTCTCTGGTTCGCAAGCGGCAGTTGGCTATAAGCTTCTTTAGCATCTTTCTCGGTGATTTCCATCGTCTTGAACCGACCCATAGATGCACCACCCGTGAAAGCGCCGGATAGCCCTAAATGTACTGGGATCTTTCTGTTCTGACTTGCTGCTCTATCACACTCCAGCATAAATTCTACTATCGTTGTGACGGGCGCCACGTATACCTGTGTCAAAATCTGACAGGGAAGCACTATTTCGTCCAGTTGTCATTCGTGATGCTGATGGACCTTGGCCAAGTACGAGACCAAGGCCCCGTGCGGAAGCGCTAGATACATAATTGAAGGAAAGTTGTAAGAAAGTGCGAGACAGAAATACCCAAAGTGTCGCCGCTTCGCTATCGACTGTGCTGACATGTCGGTAGAAGGCGAGAAGCGATTCACGCCAGGTTGTAGTTAGGACCATTACAGTACATCGCCGAGAGTGCGTAAATCGCGAGAGAACCCGGCTCCGTGCAGCTTGTACGGGCAATATCGACGATCCCGGAGCCATGACATATCTTGCATCGTCACATGCTCTAGCCATCGATTATCGAAACGGCCCGTAGAGGTGACGTCTGCCTTACTACCGTTTCTCACTTCGACGGTTATCGCGTGACGAAAGTCAATAGTGACACTGCAATCATTGTTGTAGACGGTGTTGTCTGTAGAAGTAAAAATTGAAGCACGGCGACTAACAGTCTGCACGTCTCCATGACGAATGTGACGGGCAGCCGACAGGCCAACCACTGCAGATCCAGTCTCCCAGAGGGATGTGTTAAGTTGAGGTTGCACCTCTGCTGTCCAGAATGGTGTGATGTACGTCAATCCATTCGCTGTCCCCCAGAAAACGTCTCCGATCAGGAGCTTCCGTTGCGAGACGGCTGCCGCCCATTCGCCGACAGCTGTTGCAGCCATTGTCATCCAATCCGTCCTGATACATGGTATCGCCAGCCCACCCTGCTGAATAGGAAGCGAGACCATTTCCTGTGGAACCCAAGATCTGAAACGTTGTCCTTACCTCGCCCCAAGGATAAAGTCCATGAGTAGTCCGTGAAGTCGTGCGACGACCCCGAGAGGCGGCCAGCAATGAAGTGCCAAAAAGATAATTTCGGGGACCGCGATCGCGCTAGCCAGACGACCCCGCTGTTCCACAGTGTGCGTCTTCGCTCGAGCAAGGACGAGCCGACACCAGATAGATCGGATACATTTATCCCAGTTCTCGGATTGAGCTTCTTGCTGCCCGACCATCACACCAAGCTACGGGCTAGAGTCCCGCCGCGCAAAAAGTATTAGGCTTTGGGTATCTAGGGGCACTTCTGAACCTTGAGAATTAAGTTCGGTCACCATAGACTTAGCCCGGTTTGTGTGAAGTCTCGAGACGCCAGAGAATCCATCCAGAACCGATACCACATGTTTTACTTACCAACGTTCGTGGATATACACGGCCGTATCGTCGGCATACCCAGACACCTTTATCACTTCTGCCTTGTCACCCGACCGGATCCCCACGCCGCTTTTTCTGGGTGAGCCTGTATAACTCTGCAAACGCTATTGAGAGCAAGAATTAAAAGTAGCGGAGCTATAGTGCACCCTTGACGAATACCGCAGCGAACATCTCTTCTACTTGACCGGTAGCCGTTGACGACGAACTGGCAAGTCGTATTGTGATGGAGTGCCTCCAATACCGAGGCAAACCGCTGAGAAAAGACCAGCCACGTCAGCAACGACAATAAGTACGGGCGCTAGAGTGTGTAGTAGGGTTTCGCGAAATCGAGAAGTAGAGCTACCGTCCCGGTCTGACGTGGGTCCAATGTGGCTGCTTTTTTGAACGCCAGCGATGCATTCTATCATATCTTTCTACGCCAAAGAGCGGCGGGTTACTCGCAAGCAATAGCTCTCGACAGGACTTCGACTTTATCGACTCAAATAGTGCCGTAGGTGCAGACGCAGTCGTTGCCTCCGGTGCCACGTACGGCAAAAGAGTGACCGCCTGGTCGTCCGAGCACACAGAGAACGTGGCCGTGGCCGTCGCGTTGGCACAGTCAATCTGCGTCGTCGCGCCTTGGCGATCGATCACCGTGGGCTTGTCAAAGCACGTGCGAATGACCGAGAGCTGGTTCTCGCCGTCCACCGCTGAGCACAAGACCATCACGTGACGGTCATACAGCGCCTGAATCGCCGCCACCGTCGTCTGGTGCGGGTCACGAGCTGCCCACGCGTTGATCTGCTCGGTCGCTGCACGAAGGCGAGCCGCTGTGTAGAGCGTCGCTTCAAGTACGTGGTCGCAGCAGCTTCGAGGCCCGCCCCTTGTGTCGCGTAGCACAGGCTGTGCTTTTGGAACTCATGGTTGTAAAATTTGCACAGCGTATTGTGCGTCGACTGTTGCGAGGCGCCGAGCCAGTGGGTGGCCATGTGCGACAAGAGAGTCGCGTGGCGAACGGCACTGCGTCGAATGGTTCATTTTCGACCGTCGCACTGGTATTACAGCAGCTCTCGTAGCCATCGTTGTGATTCGGCCAGAGCCCGTGGATCGTCAGTGTGCTTCGAGCACGATACGGGCTACAGAAAGTAATATTGTTGGTGTATTTAGCATCGCGTTTGACCCGCTAGGTCCTGTTGCTTGGCTAGAACGTTACCAAGGCGCCTATTACTGAACAAACATGATAATTATTGTGTTCGAACACCAGAGCGCCGACCTAAATACTCTTATTTTGAGATGATTATGTTTATAGATGTCATCGCGGGCCTCTGGGGGCGTGAGATGTCTATAGCCAGTAGCTGACATTATTGACAAGTAAAGTTGTAGCCTTCTTTATAGCACTATGGTCGGAGGATGCGTTTTTTTGAATTTTGATCTGGGTATTGAAGGAAAGACGATAGTTGGCCGTATGTTCTAGGACGGCAGTTGGTATATTGGGTATACGGAGACGGGAGAATCGACAATTAAAGAAGAGAAGGCTCGTGCTACGATAGTGTTAAATTTTTTCATGGTATTAGTGATACGCACCCACAGGAGCAGTCAAGGCGCTTCACGTTTACATAAATATTGGTTGAGTTGTTAAACCACAATCAAGGGCTCGCATCTACTTTTATCACCTTCGCACCGCAATATACAACATGGGTCCATTGACAAAGAGCTTATGTATCCAAAGCAATATTTGCCATACGATCCCCCATTGCATTGTCGGTGCAATAATGATACACCCAGCATGTAATGAAGTTACACAACATGAGTGGTTTACGTAAGGTACAAAGTCCCATGAATGATGCTATAAGAACGCTACATCAGTTGTTGGATCTGAATTGTGTCGGTCGCCGAAATACGAGGTCTTTTAAGAGCTGTCAAACATTATTGTCTAGATTTAGTACGTTTAGTTTGAGGTGCTCTTTTCAAAAAAAGAAATAAAGTTCAGTTCCCCTTTTGATCTATTAAGACACGTGCCTTCCCAAAGCGGCTTTGATCGTTAATAATATCTAGCAACGCCTTGTACAGGTAGCTACGCTTGAGCACTCTGTGCTGTGAATTTTTGAATCGTTTGTCACCTGGATAGGGAACCGTAAGCCCTTCAAGCTCTTTGACGCTCTGAGTCGAGTTCTTTAAACTAAGTTTGCTGAAGAGCGTTAATTCTTCCTCTGACTTAAAAAGATGTTTAGCTCCGCTACATTTGGTAGCACTTGTAGTCATGTTACGCTTGGGTCTTTACGACGGATCCTCTGTAAGTATGTAGCAATTAATAGACCTCAATGAGGCTCAAACGGTCGCGCCTTTTTAGCTGACCGCGGTCATAGGGCCACTAAATGCGTAATTCCAAGCTGCACACGGTCCTGATGTGCTATTTGCACGTGTCGAGACCTTCACGAGAATGAGACGACCCTTTATAGCAGGTTAAAACAAAGTTGGGTCGGCTATGCAAAGACGATGAGTGACATTGCCAGATAAAGTGACTTAGCCTCGTCCCCTCAGTGTGCACGTTAAAGACCTCTTCGGTAAGAAAAGGGAAATATCACCCTCTGGATTCGTGAGATTAAGTTGACCATGAGATCTGGTCTAATTTCACTTGAGCACCAGCAAGTCGCACTGTCTGTCCATAAGCTTGATGGGATATCTAGAGAGTGGGCTATGGCGTGCAACACGTATTTGATTCTGTGTATACCGCAAGGGGATCGCTCAAGCTCGAACTTTTGCGAGTTTTCTCACTGCCCAATCAGGCTTATCATGCGCGTTTACGCCCTCTTCTCTGCCCGTTAGGGTACGCAATAGTTAATGGACAATGTAAAGGTGTTGATGAATCTAATGGCTGCTACGCAATCCTACCCTCTCCCTGAGGCAGTTTATGTGACTGTATTTGTAGAAGGTTTTCACACTGACGTGGCCAGAACCGAGGTTTTTCGGGTCCATCCCTCTAATTTTTAAATAGGCTGTGAGCATCGCTAAATATGCTGAGCACAACTTTAAGTCATTCGAACTTGGTTGGAACCGGTGCAAGCCCATCTTTTTGAGGGCAATCTCTATAGTTACTCCGGATTTTTTAAGACTGAAACGATTGCTTTTAGCAACGCTGAAGATAAAGGTGAAGCTGAAATTCAGGTTGGTCAGCAACAACAAGAAGTGCTTTCGGTGTTTTAAGTGCGGAAGCGCTAAACATTTGCTCTCCAGTTGTCCGTTACGCAAGCAACACCTGACTCTACGAGTCAAGATCCCCGCCTCACCCAGCAATCTGGTACGGCGCAAGCAATTGTCGACACCCAGTAGGTGTGAATCGCCCAACTGGGGTATAACTAAGATATGTAAATTCTCCGCGAGGTAGAGTAATATATGGCTCAGCCCCAAGAGCTCTGTGCCCGTCAGCAAAGAACGTGGATACAAGCCTGGGTTGGCGGTCGCCGAGGTGACAGTGAAAGGCTTTGACGATCCATAATCGACTTTGATTAATTCCGGAAGTTCATGTAGTTATGCTCGACGTCGTTCTCTTGAGAAAGGGTCAGCGATGTGCTGATGCGCGCAAAGCGAATGAGGGTGACTCAATCACCGTTCGTTTATCGACTGGTGGTTGCGTCACTGGGCCAAATGTTCCGTTGAACTTACGTGTTAGATTTTTGGACGTCGACAGCACAGAAGGCTTTCTTGTATTTGATTTGGATTCGAGATACGGTCTAATCCTAAGTATGGCTTTGCTCGAACGCCAAAAGCCATGTATTGATTGGAGATATCAGACCTTAGGCGCAACGCCTAATGTTCTCAATGAATCGCTGAAGAGTCATGAACCCACATTTGCTAGGCAATATAAGAACAATTGGCGCTAGCTATTGACGGAGGATGTCAATGTGCGGGACATCGGTATGTCCGAGTTGATCGATTTAAATTTAATGACATGATTGGTGAGCGTATCTCTTTCACCGAATGTAAAACGATTCGTAGTCCGTTTAGTGAAGCTCGTTGCGGCAATAGGTTACTGCATGCTGAAGACATTGTTGGCCTAGGGCTGAGTCATTAAGAATGCAATTCCTCCGATGTGAGTGAGTTAGCACGTGAAAATTCACCGAGTGAGGGCGGCCACAATGGTACCTCACTGAATGTCGGGATTGACATTGTAGACAAAAAGTCGAAGCATTCAAGGATAGGGCCACATGATGCACGTGAAGTGGTACGTGTAAATCCACTGGGTGAAGTGTTCGAGTTACGTAACACTTCATCATATGTCGGTCGAGACATGAGCTCTCGTTTAAGGCGTGCTAAAGTTGTTAGCAACCACAAAGACTCCATTGTCCCAGCCTTTAACAGCGACGATTTTTTAAATTAACAATTCTGGCGTTGGGTGTTAATTGTTCAGCACCAAACGATTATAACGCCACGTAGATATAAAAATTGCAAATACACTAAATACAATTGTCAAAGATGTGACTGGCTATGTGGATAGAAAGATTAGTCTTGAGAATCTTGCATCATTGGTACTCGATTTGAGCTACAAGAAATGTATGATGTCAAATTTAGCCAATCATTTTAAACAGAGTAGTTATCCGATGTATTGGCCATTCGACCTGAGTTAAGTTGAACTCTTCTTTTCTCTCGCCATTGTATGAATCATTTACTTGAGATAAACAAGCGACACTCGGTGCGCATTGTCAATCCTTAATCGTTGAGAATCCTCTTCATTCGTTCTACACTTTGGTATAGGAGTTTCAAGACGTGATGTGTCACAACCCACCATCTTTCTTACCGCCTGATAGAGGTGTTCGTCATAAGATTGACTTGGTTTGTAGAACCAAATAATGTGTAACAGAGCGGTGGCCTCTACGGAAGGATCCGTGTGAAGTAATTGACGACTTCTATCGTGCAAAGCACGCGGTGGGATCGGTTCGGGAAAGCTGATCTCCCCATTCCACACCAATCCCTGCGTCAAAAGCCTAATTTAAAGTGGATCTTTGCTAATGCTTACAATAAGCTGTAAACGACCACCATCCCGGCAATGACATCAATTACAGACAAGATAAACTTCAGAGCAATATGGTGGGATGCATGGTGTACAGTGCGCTCGACTTAGTTAATGTTTATAACTAATTTCTTATGCGAGAGAGCGATATTCTGCTGACAGCGGTCGGCAATCCAAGCGGTATGCTCCGGGAGTGGCTTGTTATGCCGCAAAGGATACCAAATGCCACGGCTACATTCAATCGTCTATTGACACTATTGTTCAGACCTCACAGAGGTTATGCACAGACATACTTTGATGACATCTTTGTCCATAGCCGTGCTATGAACGGTCGGTCAGATGTGGACAATCACATTGAACATTTACGAGCGGTGCTCGAGTGCATGCGCACAAATAAGTTGTACGCCAACGCGTCTAGGTGCATATTTGGTGCAGAAGAGATTCCCTTTTAGGGTGCTGTATTGGTAAGCGAGGCCTTCGAGCGGGTCCCACAAAGGTATAAGCCATAATTGATTGGCCGGTCCGAAGACTCAAAAGGGCTTACGTGAGTGGCTTGGCCTTACCAATAACTTGCATATAATAGTGCGAATTACGCAGATATGGCTCGTTCATTATCCAATCTCCTCAAAACGGATTTGGGGTAATGCTGGACTATCACCGAGCATAATGCATTTAGAGCTGTCATAGAGAGTATCGTTCATGCGCTAATCTTGGCTTTGCTTGATACTATTCTACCTTTCAGTGTCGTCTGTGGCGCATCTGACTGTGCCATAAGCAGAGCTCTGTTACAGACAGATTCTGATGGACGGGAACGAGTAATTGCGTTTGATTTTTGGCAGCTGAAGGCTGCAGAAAAGAACTATTCAGTTCATGGGAGAGAACTACTTGCAATGAAGTACGCTCTCGTCAAATTCAGAGTTCATCTGCTTGACTCTAAGCCGTTTGTGATCTATGTAGATCATGCGTCACTACGCAATGCGA